GGATGAGGGGATTGGGGGACTGCCTACGCCCGTCGGGTCCCCTGCCGGGGCTGGGGCGCCTGCTGGCTTCGCATTCGCGCCGCCGGGCCCTGGGGCTCCCGCTGCGGCAGCGCCCGGTGCCGGGCCTCCCATGCCAGGCGACGGGGCTGGGGCACCGGTCGGAGAGGCTGTCCGGCCGCCTGGCCGCGCGGCTGCGAGGGGGGCCCCCGTGGTGGAGGAGGAGACGGAGGAGAGCGACCGGGCATTCATGAAGAGGATGTTCACGGCCCTCAACGCCAATGTGGACGGCCTCCGGTCCGAGATGACCCTTTTCTCGAACACTGTGCGGGACCACGGGGAGAGGATCGGGAAGGTGGAGGGGAGGCAGGACGATACTGAGACGCGGACGGCCGATCTCGAAGCTGCGGTGACCACCCTGCAGATGGAGCAGTCGGCGCTGCAGGCGGAAATCGAGGGCATGAAGAAAGTGCGGGTGCCCGCAGACGCCGGCGGAGATGCGCGCCAGGCACGGAGGCTCCCCCCATGGGCTGGCGTCCCGCGTGGGGAGTGCGACGTTTTTGTCATGACCAACCTCGGCTGGAACACGAAGGCGCCGGAGCTCGAGCAGCGTGCGCGGGAGATTCTGAGGAACCTTGGCACCGACAACCCCATGGACCTCAAGGCCCCGTACGCGTATGGAAGCCTCGTGGAGGTCAAGTTCAGCACGGTGGGGGTGGGGCAGAAGACCGCGTACACCGTCAAGCAGGCGCTCCTGGACGGCCATGGGGGGAGGAAGATTTGGATGGGCCCCATTTCCACGAGGGAGGAACGCATGCCGGGCAAGCAGTGGGGTAAGCTCAAGGAGGAGGTGGGGACGAAGCTTCAGGGTCGTAACGTCGTCTTCTGCGAGCGCACCCGTGCGGTCTGGTTGGATGACGCGAAGGTGGGCAGGCTGATGGCGGGCGAGTTCCTGTGGGAGGTGCCGGCGGCGTCGCCGGTCAAGGAGCTTCTGGGCGACACGGTTGCCCGGGCGCTTCAGCAGTGAGGCCCTTCCCACGTGCCTGCCCTGGCTTGCGCTTTAAACATCGAGGGCAAGGGGGGCACGGATGCAGACATTAATTCAATTTTGGGGCTCCTGGAGCTGAAATCCTGGGGGCTCATCGCCCTTCTGGAGGTCGACCACCGCCGGCGTTGCGATCCCAGCGACAGCATCCTCCGGGAGTTTGAAGGTGGTCACGCGTGCGTGCGCCACTACCCAGGCGAGGGCTCGTGGGCTTTTGCTCTTTTAATTCACAAGCATGCAAGGGCACGATTGAAGGACGTGGAGTGCGGGGATCGGTCTATTCGCGTGGACCTTTTTCACACTTCGCCTGATAGTAAACAAGTTTCTCTTAAGTCTGTTCTTTTTAGCCATTTGGCGCACGGCGCCGCTTTTGAAGACAGCTTGGCCGATGCTCAGGGCCTCGCGCGCCGGAGGCCGCGCAACTCGTCTTTGTTCAGGCTGGGCGATGTGATTGCGGATTCCAAGAAGCCTTGGCAGGAGACATGGTCCCTGTACACGGGTGCGCTTCGAGGTTTGGGTCTCCAGTGGGCCCCGCCCCGCTATTTCGAGGCGGACCCAGCGTTGCATTGCACTCGCAGGCCGTCGGGGGCCCAAGTAGGGCAGCCAGCAAACATAGACCATGCAGCAGCACCTACAGGCCTCCACGTGGACGCATTCATTCGGTGGCAGGGAGTGCCGGGAGATCATGCGCTTCTCGCCGTTGATGCTTTGATGGTGGAGCCTCGGAGGAGGTGCCGGAGACCTCCGAGGTGGCGGCCTCAGTGCGTTCTCTCTGTCGCCCGCGTTGCGTCGCAGCTTTACCCTGTATGCTCAGAGCTTGTACGGCACGACGACCTGCAAAAACCATCATCTTGCGAGGTGCGGTGCCACGAGCCGCCGGAATTCTCAGAATCGTTCGGATACTGGGAGCAGTCGGTGGCGGATATTGTTTCTGCCACTCATCGGGTGGGTTCCTCTAGTGTCCGCAGAGCCTGCCATGAGCCCCTGTGGGTCAAGGCCATCAGGAGAAGATTGAGAACATGTCTCGACGAAGTCCGCCGCGTCGAGATAGGCAAGGACCTCCTGAGGGCCTTGAAGATCACCCGGAAATCTTCGGAGAAGCAGGCTTTGGCCATCAAGTGTCTCAGAGGGGAGAAAGTTTGGGTGTCTCGCAAGCCTCTCCCAGCAGTCAGGGGTTTCATCCAGGCTGGCGCCGTCGTGTACGATCCCTCCGTTTGCGCTGCCCTGGTCGATGCCGAGTTCCGCAAAAGGTGGGGCGTCCCTCCAGCGGAATGGGACGAGGAGAATGCTGCAGTCCGCCAGCTTGCCACTTCGAGGGTCCCGCGTCTCCGGGTGCAGCCTGGAGTACTTGACATGGCAGTGGATCGCATCAAGAACTCTGATAAAATCGACAAGCACGGAGCCTGTGTGGCCGCGCTGCGGATGGCGGGCTGGGTCCGGAGGACCAGGGACGTAGTGGAGGAAACTTTGAATAGTGACGTGTTCTGGCAGAGCGTCGTCTTGACCGGCACGATCGGAAATAAGGAGAAAGACATCTCGGGGCCGGAGGCCACGAGAGTCGTCATCCCCCAGTCTATGCTTGCGCAGCTGTGTCATGCATACGTTGCGGAGATCCTGGAGCCGTACCTGGAATCGTTCGCGGCCTCGCACTCCTTGTCGGGGCTCGTTTTGGGCCTTGGTAAAGGCGGGCAGGTGCAGGATCTTTTCACCACGGCGTCGCAGGTTCTGGAGGTCGGAAGAGATAGGTTCAACGAGGCTGCAGTGGCCATTGCGGACGTAAAGGCTCGCCAGGACCAGATTCGGTACAGTTGCGTCTTCAGGAGTCTGTTCGCTCGAGATGTTCCTCGGGAACTTGCTGCTGCTGCGATTCGCCTGCACAGAGCCCCGGCCATTCAAATCGACATTATGGGCACGACGACGCAGGAGATTAGGAGGTCGAGGGGGTTGCACATGGGTGCGCTCACTGCGGGTATGCTGGCCCGTCTGACCATCGAGGACGCTTTCGTCGCGTGCATGGACAGGCTGAGCCAGGCCGAGGTGGGTTTCATGTTGGGCAGTCACCAGCTTCTCTTTTCCGCGTGGAGTGACAACCTTTTCAGTTTCGCGCCCACCGTGGGCAAGGCAGCTGAGATCATGACGGCGGTAGAGAAGGCCCTTTGGAGCAAGCACCGCCTGTTCGTGAAGCCAGACAGCCGGGAAATGGTCACAGCGAGCCACGTCACTTTCGAGAGCTACGATTTCCGGGACAGTCGTGGGTGCCGCTGGAAGGTGCAGCCGGCTGTGAAAATTTTAGGGCCATTGATATCGTGCACGGGCTGCTGCGCGGAAGACGTAAAGGCCACAACTCAAAAGATTTACGCTTGCTTCTGGAAGAACAGCCGCTTCTTGACCAACAGCGGCATCCCCATCCGTAGAAGGCTACAGAAACTCAGCGGTGTTGCTGGAGGCATCATCAGAGCCAGGGCTGCGTCGTGGCCCCCGTGCCAGGCCACGGAGACTTTTTTGGATAGAAGGCAGTCAAAGCTTTTAGCGTGGATGCTCCGGCTGCGCTGTAAGCCGAACGAGACTCCACAACAGTTTTGCCTGCGCAGAAACCGCGCGGTCAAAGAGCTGGCGGCCACGAAGTGGTCGAAGTTTCATCTGTACTCGTGTTTGTCCTGGCACTCACACCTCCAGAGGCACCCAGACAGCTGGGCAGCCAGAGCGGCCAGTGAGCAGGACCACGACTGGGTCAGCTCACAAAGGCGCGTCTGGGTGTCGGCATCCAGCAGGTCTTCTAAAACTTTTTCCAGAAAAGGCCGGGGCAAGGTCCACCGCTGGGACCAATCGGGCTGGACTTCCCGGTTTAATCCGGCGGGGACGCGGGATCCCAAAATCATCTGGAATTTAGCGGACGACCCTTCGCGCAGTCTTGGCTGCAAAGGCAGACTTGGAGAGGCTTGCCCCTGAGAGCTTGTGACACCGGGGATTCTCCGCCTCCAACGGGCGTGTCATCATCATCATCATCCTCCTCCTCCTTCTCCTCCTCCTCCTCCTCCTCCTCCTCCTCCTCCTCTCCTCCTCGTCCTCCTCCTCGTCCTCCTCCTCCTCCTCCTCCTCCTCGCGTTCCGCATGCTCCTCCTCCCTCCTCCTCTTCCTCCTCCTCCTCCTCCTCTTCCTCCTCCTCCGCCTCCTCCTCGTCCTCCTCCTCCTCCTCATCCTCCTCCTCATCCTCATTCCCTCTATCTCCCATCTGCGCGGCTACCCGCCCCTCCCTCCCCCCCCTCCATCCCTCCCACCTCTCTCCTCTCTTTCTGTTCCTATTGTGCCCCCTCATTCGCGTGCAATTCCCCTCTCGATCAGTGATTTGCCAGCCTTGGCGGAGGATGTCTGGTCAGAAATTGCCTGCAGCATCGCCGTGCGCGACCGCGAACGTTCGCGCCGCAGCATGAACTGGCCCGCGCCTGGCTGTCGGCCAGGGCCCGCGCTCGCTCGAGCGGCCGCGCCGGCTTCGCAAATTCTGAAACACACGCTGCGGGGCCAGCCCGCGGGGTTGACGCCGGCCCCGCGCCGACAAAAACCAGGCTTGCAAATCCCAGCGACATCCCAGTGAAATCCCAAGGAAATCCCAACGCAGATCCCAACGTGGTTTTACCAAATCACAATGGGTTTTTCCTGATACATCATGGTTTTCTTGAAATCCGCGAAATCCCAGCGCAAATCCCAACGCAAATCCCATCGGTGATTTCGAGCTGGCGCACCGTCTGACACGCGCGGTTCGACCTCGCGAAGCCGAACATCATGTCGGAATCAGCGTCGGCCCCCTGCCCTCACCCGCGCCCCTCCCGATCCGCCCCTCGGTGCCCCCCCCCAGCTATTATCGTATCGATTGTTTGGCCACGAGGTGCCGATTTTCGCCGATTCGAGTGTTTGGATTCTCCCTTGGCGTAACGGCCTGATCCGAGCAGGCGAGCCTCGGTCACTTCTGCCTCTGGCCGTGGCAGCCTTGGAGGGCGTTCAGGACCTCCCTGACAGCGTTCAGCGGCCCGTCGGGCTGGGGCAGGGCGCCCAGGGCCGCGGTGAAGTCCTTCTCCGAGAGCGTGCTCTTCATGGCCGTGAACTCCATGGACATCACCTTCTGAAGGATCGGCACCTCCATCGCATGCTCGGTGAGCTTCTTGAGGCCCGCGTCGAGCTCGGGCATCAAGGGGTCGTTTTTCGCCCAGCTCCATTCGTCCATGTTGGACACGTTCCACACCATGGATTCGCCACGGGCCTTCACCTTCGCGCACATCTCGAAGTTCTCCTTCGCTTTGGCCAGCGCCTGCTTGTCAACCTTCTCGTTGGGGCTCTGCTGCTGCCTCGCTGCCTTCCTGGGCTGCTTGGGCGGCTGCTGGTCATCATGGCACTTGGTGGCGCCCCTGGACCGCTTGGGCGGCTTCGCCACCTCTGCGCGTGCTGGTTCGACCTCGCGCTTCTCGACGAGCTGCTTGGTCGCCGCGTCGGCCGCGGGCGTGTGCTCGACGCCCTTGGCGGGCGCCTCGACAGGCGCACTGGTCTCCGCCTTCGGGGCGGCCTGGCTCGTGACCGTGCCCAGGGCGGCCGAGGTCGGGTTGTCGCCCTCCGAGTACTGGGAACAACTCACCATAGTTAGCATCACCACCATCATCATCAGCATCAGCATCAGCATCATCATCCTCATCATCATCATCCATGTCCCCCCTCATCCTCGTCACCATCCTCCTCATCCTCGTCCACCGCCTCCGCCGCCGCGCCAATTTTCATCCGCTCATTCCTCCGCAGCATCTCATCTTCATCAGCTCAGTCCCCCCCCCCTCAACTTTCCCACCCTCCGCCTCGTCATCCTCTACATATACAGCGCGACGGCCAACAGTTCATGCCCCCAGTCCGTGGGCTTGGCCGTCAGCTGGCTCCACTCCTTGTGCTTGGTCCAGGCCTCCGTGAAGCAGTGGACGTGCCCCTTATATGCCGCCATCGTGATTATCATCATCCTCATCGGTCTCATCATTCGCATCCGCACCCGCCCTCCCCGTCACCGCCATGATATCCCCCCCCCTCATGTTCCGCATCGTCCGCCTATTATTCATCATCAGTGTCCTCATCCAACTACTCATCCGTCTTTTCGCCATCCCCATCGCCATCGCCAGCGTGGTTACGAACGCCACCATCACCCTCACCATCCTCCATCGCCTCGCCATCGTCACCCACATAGTCACATGCACCGCCACCTGCCATATCCGCATCCTCATTGCGATCCTCATCGTCGCCACCCACATCAGCATCACCTGCCTCATAGATCAACTTCATAACATCGTTTACACTAGTCACACAACCAACAATGTCATCGTCACCATCAGTCATCGTCATCAGCACAGCGGCATCGCCACCGTCGTCAGCATCACCATCACACGCAGCCTCACCACCAGTGCCATTATCATCATCACCACAGTCATCATCATTCGGTCATGGGTTCGATATCGCATCAGCGTGTTAAGTGCCCCGCCGTCTTGCAGTGCAGCGCCTGGATCGCCTCCGACGCGTCGTCGAATAGGATCCACGGGGGGCCGATCTGGATGGCCTTGGAGACGACGCGGGCTGCCTGGGAGGACGGATAGTCGCCGCCACCACGCTGCCACCATCTCTCCAGATTGTTCCCAAATCGTCTGAGAGCACACCGCTCATCAGCACCACCCTCATCATCATCATCATCACCATCAGCAGCACCATCATCATCTTGATGCACCCGTCTCCCTCCGCATCCGCATCATCACCATCAACAGCAACATCGTCATACTTCTAGTCCACACCACCCCTCGTCATCATCATCATAATCATCATCATCATCATCATCATCATCATCATCATCATCATCATCATCCCCATCATCTGTCCACTCCTCCATCTCATATACCGTCATACCTTGGCATCCCATCATCATCAATACATTCTCCGCCCCCCCCCCCGCCGTCGCGACATTCAGTATCACCGTTCGCGCCTGTCGCCAGCCCAGGGCCCCTCCGCCGTTGATCCAGGCGATCCGCCCCACGGGGCGGTAGACGCCCTTGACGTAGACCTGGCGCTTGTCCTCCTTCGTGTGGGTCCGCTTGTCCTGGGGCGGCGGTGGCGGCGCATCTCCATCGCTCACCATGCCCATCCCCTGATCAGTCGAGCCCCCTTTGCATCGGTCCCTCGGCCCCCCTCCCCTCTATCTTTCCGCCGGCGCATCGGTCCATCGGTCCTCGGGCCATGGGCCCATCGGCCCTCGTTGTCATGTCTCCCCCCAGGGTTGTGCACGCTGCGTTTCTGTTGGGGCCCAGTGCCCATGAATGTGTCGAACTCGCCTTTGGCCCAGCTCGCCCTGAAATCTTTCTTTTTGGCGGTGCTGCCCTTGCCCTTGCTGGCGTCGTACTCGGCGCGCAACTTCTTCCCCGCGGGCGTGTCCGCTCCTTTAGCACGTTGCCATTTACCTGCTGCCACCACTTCAAACTCGTCGGTACATTGCCTGTGCTCGAGCGGAAACTGGAAACTGTGTTTCTCGAGCGCCTTCCAGAAGTTCAACTGCTCCGCATCATCCTTGCCGCCCTGACTCTGGGCGCCATCACTCGTGTCACTTGCCTTCGCGCTCGGGCCGAACCAGTTGCTCTGGTTCTGCAGGTAGCCGCCGCTGCTGATGTCGCGCATCATCGCGCCCGTCGTCTCGCTGATGTTGTCGCGGCCCTTCTCCGCGAAGACCCCCCTCGGGCTCTTGTTGTTGAACAGCTCGAGCAAGAGGTCGTTGATTGCCAGCTCGTCGATCTTGTCCCCGCTCAGGGCCTTGTTCAACTTGTCCTGGCGGGGCCGAGGGATGGGGCCCTGTCTTCAGCATGCCCGCCCCTCGCCTTGTGCCCCCCTCCCCATCTGGTCCATCCCTGCACCCTCCCGTGAGATCACTCCACATCCCTCCGACCGTCACCGCCAATGACCACCACCACCCGATCGCTCTCCGCTTCCCTCTCCGCTCATCCCGCGCCCCATCGAAGGGGGGGGGGGGGGCGGTGATTTCAACCGCGCGGACAAGGGGGGGGGGGCGGTGGGCGAGGCAGATGAGGCATGGGATGACGACGCCCAGACAGACGCAACATCCCAACGCAAATCCCAACGCATTGTGATTTGCATTGGGATTTGATGCGGCGTCGTCATCCCCCATGCCGCATCATTCTCATCCTCCTCCACTATCATCATTATCATCCTCCGCTTCTTCCTACGCCTCCTCCTCCCCCTCCTCCTCATTCTCCTCCTCCTCCTCCTCCTCCTCCTGCGCCGCCCTCGCACCTTCGCCCTCATCCAGTGTCATCGGATCCGCCGCTGTCCCATTGCGACTCGTCCATCATCCCCCTTATTTCCTCATCTCCCCCCTCTGACGGCACGATGCCACGATGCATCGATGCCGAACGCAACGATGATGATTCGACATCTGTGCGCTCGGCTTCTGTGCAACAGTATCGCACCATCTGGCGTCAACTTGAATCTGGCGAGCTCAGGCGCGGCCTGAACGTCGCGCAGCTGCTTGGGGCCGCTCTTCAGCGGGCGCGGCGTCGACGCGGTACCGACCAGCGCTGCGCGAACTAAATCCACCTTCGGAGGAGGTGCGCCGAGCCTAGATGGCCCCTGCTGCGGGACCGAGCGAGGAAGCGTGCTAGGCGCTGCAGGCGCTGCAGGGTGGGTCCGCATCGCCTTCTCCTCGGGCGCACCTGGCGGCTGCTCACCATCCGTTGCGGACGGTCGCTTCCTGGATGCGGCCGGCCTCTTCTTGATCAGCACGGCGTCGCCATCGGCGCCATCGGGGACCTCCGCCTCCTCCCCCCCCCTCCCCGGCATGCTCATCTGGCTGGTCGGCCGCGTCGTCTCCGTCAACGTCGGACCCGTCCTGGTCGTCATCATCTCGATGAGCGGGCTCTCCATCGCTGGCGGCGCGGCCGGCCTCGTCGTCGCGGCAGTGCTTGGACGGCTTCTTGGTGACCTTGGTGCCGCCCTTGGCCTTGGCCGTTGCCTTACGCTTGCCCTTCGGAGCGCTCGTCACCTCGTCCTGCTTGTCCGTCGTCTCCTGCTTGCCGTGATCTCGAAGAAAGTCGGCCTTCGCCGCCTCGATATCGGCCTTGTCCACACATGGTCCATGTATCTACCTTGGCGCTCGTCCGCGGTAGCATCGTATATCCACCAAGTAAGTACCCTGCTCCACTAGGTTGCCGAACAGGGAGATAGCATTCAAGTCCTCAAACACCGTCAAGGTCACGATGTCGAAGTGATACTCAGCAAAACATGGCAACGTGAGCCTAGGGTGTTCCCACGCATTCGGGGCTTCCCTAGGACTTGCGTTCTGCCAGCAAACCATGGCAACATGGTCTGAGGTGTTCCCACGCATTCGGGGCTTCCTCGAGAACCGTACTCTGTAGTGATCGGGCCTTCCACGGCCCACTCTTTTCCAGGATAATATTCATGTTTGCCCGCACCCTGCGTAGTATTCACGAGGCTGCAGTAAGTATAAGATTATGCCATCACCCTGTGTACGTGTGATGAGCTATCGTCCAGTGCAGATGGCTGCACAGAACTCGAAATACTTCCGTTTGGCTGACTTTTTGGAACACTTCATGCACTCGAGCTCCTGACAAACTCGTGCTGGTCGAAAGGTAAGTAGGACGTGGCATCGGTTGCCTGGCTTCTCGGTGCGTATGTTGTGCTCCACGATAAGTTTGTCGTAGTCCTCTGGCGTACGTTTTTGTCCACACTGATGCGGCCCTGACGGCAGGACCCCTGGTGTGCATAGTAGTCGTGGCCATGTGCTGAAGCGTCCAATCCCCGGCGTAGTGAACTTGCACTGTATGCAGAGCAGGTGCGGGTCTTGGTCTCGCTTGGCTCCAGTAAGCGGACCAAGCACATGGTATCCTTGCTGGCGGGCCTCTCGATTATGTAGAAGACGCTTCTGCTCATCAATGAGAGCACGTCCTTGAAGACCCTGAAATTCTCGTTCTTCGTCTGTCGTCCATGTGATCACATTGCGCAACTTCTGGACGGAGACAACGTTCCTGGTGTGGGTACCCCTCTCTGAGAGTGATGCCACTGATTGCATTGCTCGTGAAGAAAGGTCACTGTCTCGCACTGTCTTGACTATGTTCTCCTTGAGGCAGGGGACGCTCCATATCGGCTTCGGCGGCGAGCACCAGTCTGGACATACGTCGAGGCTGCCCCTACGGTCAGTAGAGGCGAGGGCCAACGCGTACATCACCTTCATCGTGTGCTGGTGAGCCACAAAAGACGCTCGGCATTTAAATCCTGGGGCCTTGCGAAGTCCAAGTGGTATCAAGGCGCTTATCTCAGCATGGGTCTCTCTTGGAGCCAATTTGCATTTGCATAGCTGTGCCATCCTCGTAGCTGCAGTGCTGAAGTATCTGGCCATGCGCACAATCTTTGCCTCACTAGCGCTCTCCTGCGGCGTGACAAGAGAGAGGCCCGTTACAATAGTGAAGTCGATGGCAAGCTCTACCCAGGATACCGACATTGGCGCTCGTACCGTGTCATCGGCCTCCCATTGTAGCTGTGAGAAGTACCATACCACTGCAGGAA